CCACCGGGAACGAATGCAAAGATGCCCGCCGCAGGCGCCGAAAAATGTGGTTTGTACCCTGAACGTGGTCGCGGGTGGGCCGCGGGCTCTCCACCTGAAACGAATGCAAAAGATGCCCGCCGCAGGCGCCGAAAAATGTGGTTTGTACCCTGAACGTGGTTTGGGTCGCGGGTTGGTCGCGAGTTGGTCACGGGGTGGGTCGCGGGCTCTCCACCTGCAAGGAATGCAAAAAAACCCGCCGCAAGCGACGAAAATGGTGGTTTGTACCTTGAACGTGGTTTGGGTCGCGGGTGGGTCGCGGGTGGGTCGCGGGGTAGGTCGCGGGTGGGTCGCGGGTGGGTCGCGGGTGGGTCGCGGGTGGGTCGCGGGCCGCGGGCGGGTCGCGGGGTGGGTCGCGGGGTGGGTCGCGGGGTGGGTCGCGGGGTGGGTCGCGGGGTGGGTCGCGGGGTGGGTCGCGGGTGGGTCGCGGGTGGGTCGCGGGGTGGGTCGCGGGGTGGGTCGCGGGGTGGGTCGCGGGTGGGTGGGTCGCGGGGTGCGGTCGCGGGGTGGGTCGCGGGTGGGTCGCGGGCGGGTTGCGGGTGGACGACGACAACAAACAACAACAAACAACAACAAACAACAAACAACAACAACAACAACAACAACAACAACAACAACAATCATTTTACCCGAACGCTCAGTGTTCTCACCAGTGCCAGGGTTTTCATGCGACGCGAGACAATACCCCCACTTCGTGGGGGGGCAGTTCAAGCTCTACCAAATATCCAAACGACTCTTCGCGACCACCCAAACCCAGCTTCCCGCCCTATGACGTTGGGACACTTCACTTCGTGGCGTGCGGACGACCGTGGCTACTACACTGGCGTGGGGTACACACCCACAGAACTTGGTCACTTATTCGGGGCGCGCGTGTGCCCAGCATCCTGCAATTGTGACATACAATACATGACACAGACAGACAGAGAGAGAGACAGAGAGCAGACAGAGAGAGAGACAGAGAGAGCGGAGTTGGTCACATTTTTGGGGCAAGTTCCTGAGATCGTCGTGTTTTTTGTTGGTCTTGCGCGCGCGAATGTCCACTTTACTTTTTTTTGCAAGGGAGTATTGAAATTTGATTATGTTAGAACAAGAAAAAGTAGCTCGCGCGAGCTCATGTAACATAAATGTTGAAAAACCATTGGTTTTGTGGGAGTCGGACAGCGCGCGCGGGATGAAATTTGGACATTTTTTTTTGAAAAACCATTGGGTTTTTGATGTTTTTATGTTGAAATCGTTACGAAACCTAAGGTTCTGGAAGGATTTCGTCTTGCGCGCGCGAATGTCCACTTTACCTTATTTTTTGCAAGGGATTATTGAAATTTGATTATGTTAGAACAAGAAAAAGTAGCTCGCGCGAGCTCATGTAACATAAATGTTGAAAAACCATTGGTTTTGTGGGATTCGGACAGCGCGCGCGGAAGGACATTTTGACAATTTTTTCTTAAAAAACCATTGGGTTTTTGATGTTTTTATGTTAAAATCGCTACGAAACCTAAGGTTTTGGAAGGATTTCGTCTTGCGCGCACGAATGTCCACTTTACCTTATTTTTTGCAAGGGATTCTTGCAATTTGATCAAGTAAGAACAAGAATTTTCATTTTATAGTGTTTTTTGCAAGGGAAAACGGAGTACAACAAAAAACCGGATCCGGTAACAATCCACTTTTCTGAAGCTTTCGCGAAAAAATGATGAAAATGTAGCTGCGGCCTAGGCGCGGCGCAGAGGTCGCGCACCAGGGGTCCCAACAATAATAATTCTTTAGAAGGAATAATATTCAACAACAACAACAACAACAACAACAACAACAACAACAACAACAACAACAACAACAACAACAACAACAACAACAACAACAACAACAACAACAACTACCAACAACAACTACACTACTACAACTACTACTACTACTACTACTACTACTACTACTACTACTACTACTACTACTACTACTACTACTACTACTACTACGACTACTACTACTACTACTACTACTACTACTACTACTACTACTACTACTACTACTACTACTACTACTACTACTACTACTACTACTACTACTACTACTACTACTACTACTACTACAACGAGAATCCGCACCGCGGAATTCCACTTCAGCCACGCACCCAGGGACAGTGAATGACCGTTCGGCCCCCTCACTCTGACTATCATGGCACTCCCAAGCCTGGAAGTACGAGGTGTCACGCGTGACGACATTCCGCCCCACTCGAACAGTCGCCACTCATAATGCTGGGCTTGCACGGTGGCGGGGCTTGCCACAGGCAACGAACTTCGTCGAGAACGGCAGGGGGCGATCTCGCAAGAAGACAACGCACACGCTCACAACATACAGCCCCAAGATATCCTTCAACGGGCCCGGAGGCGGTCCAGGGTGGGCTACAAGTTGGCCAGGATGGCCCTACGCATATAGCATCCACGATACTCCAAAATGCCATCCACAACAGCCAGCCTAGACGGCCCAAAACGCCCCAAGATGCCTTCACAACGGCCCCACCTGGCCCTACCTGGGCCTAACGGGGTCCCCAGAGGCCAATTACCGGCCACCAGGGGGCTGCAAGACAGCCCCCAAGAGGCCTCTTCATCCCCCTCCATCTTCATCTCCTCGTGGTCCTCCTCCTCCTCCTCCTGCTGCTGGCGCTGCTGAAGGGATGACTCCGAAACTACAACTCGATTTGGCAAAACAAAAAAAGATGGGGGTCAACGCAACCCATGACGTCTCGGCACCTCCCAACGCACAATCATGCTGCTGACGGAAATCGGCATACGAGTCCAGGGGGGTGAAGAAGCCTTTGGTCTCTTTAGGTGCCACGTCACCACGTCCTCAAATACCCCTCCCTGGAACCCACCAGGACGATCTTCCAGGAAATCTGCCGCTAGGAACCTAACATAAAGCCGATGGGTAAGCATTGAAAGTAGAAATGCGATACGAACCCGCCCCGTCCCTCCCCACAGCCGCCAGGTGTCCTCCGGGGTGCTGACGCCGTCGGGCCCCCTGCCAACAACCCAAGAGTCGAGGAAACGAAGGGACCCCCATTCTTGCACTGTCGTGCTACTCGCCCCTTTCTCGCCTAATCCTGGTTCCTCGTCCCCCTCCCTATTCCTTTTCCCATCCCTCGCCCGCTCCGCCCATGTTGTCTCCACTCCCGCCCTCCCTTCCCCAACGCCTCTTTCAAATCACAACGTGCGGGATTTCTGCGATGCGGCCACCGTGGGTGAGCGAAAAGCCACTGCTCTGTAACACGTGAGAGCGTTGCGCGATATACAATCCAAGGTTGCGCCCCCCCTCGCCCCCAATGCATCTGGGATCGAACCCTCCCCCCCGATGGATGGGTACGCCCGTGAGCCTCGCGAAGGCCTTGCGAATGGGACCGATCCCCCCCGCTGTGGTCGTGGCCCTGTGGGTGTGGCGTGGTGGAGGGTGCCCGTGCACCTCCCCCTCCCCGTGTGAGTGTGGGGTGGTTCGTCGTCGTCGTCGTCGTCGGCGGCGTCGGCGTCGGCTTAGGCGTCGGCGTAGGCGTCTGTGTCATCGTCCACCCCCCCCCTTCCTTTCTGGGAGGGGGCTGCGAACCCTCGATCCGGGATCATATATAAGTGCGGACGGATATCACTAAAAGCATATCTTTTCGTTGAACGTCGAATCGGTTCTGCTGCCTGCACCGCTGCACCAACCATTTTGAACAGAACCGCAGGGCACGCGACAGTATGGACACCTTCTCATGTTGAGGGCGCTTGCCAGGCCTAGAGGGAGCTAAAAACGATGAAAAAACGATCCACAATGGAGAAATGACGCGCGCGAAGACACCCATACGGAAATATACACCATTTTGAACTTTGCCGCAGCCCGTTGAGGGCCGCGGAACGGAGTAAGATGCCCACACCCAGATTTACTTCTGCCAAGGGCGTGCAACCTTGCTGAAAGAGAATGTATAGACACACGCGCTCCACTACTCGCAAAGAAACTAGTCGCAAATGGCCTGGATCCACCGAGGGGCATTCGCGATCCATTACATCGAGGAAGACGTTTGTTTTTCAGACGTCTGCGAGTAGGAACTTTGCGAGTAGTGGAACGCGCTCGGTGAGTTCAGAGGACCCTGCAAAAACTCCTTGGACTTCCTCAAAAGACTTGGCAGAGACCCCTTGAATAAACCTGGGGCGGCCGGCAACGCTCCCTTTGGTGTCCGTTCCATGGGAGCCTACGGGGCCCCCGGCGCTGTCCGATTTGGGCCTGATTTGGACCGCAGTTGTAACACAATTGGACCGGACTTGGACAGGATTCGCCCCCTCAGACGAGAAGAACGAGGAAGGGGAGGAGGAAACGGAAGGCCGAGGAGGAGCAGGAGGGAGGGCCAAATGCGGCCCAAGTGCCGGAAAAGCTGATGTGAATGACGCCGCCCAAGCCTCCTATGACTTGACATCGAACGTTCCCTTGCAAAGGCGCGGCGTCGTGCGGGACGCAAGACAACGAAAATGACGAAGATCGAGTGTGCCGTGGAGGGCTGGCATCTGCCGGGTCGCCACCTGCGCCCGCGGGCACTCAGCTGAGCGCTGCAGAATGGGCCTGCAGTGCACGCGCGGACAGCTGTCATGCAGTTGCGCAGGCGACGAGGGGAAAATCCTCAGGGGAAGGTGTAACAAACCACCGCCCAAAACCATTATATACTATACCCCAAACCCCTAGGGGGTGTGCGAGGATCCTGAGCGTGGGCTTGGTATACAGAGTTCCCTCCCTGGGGCGTGGTTATTGTATACTATACGTGGCCCTTTGCGGTGGAAACTGACTGGGGCGGAGGGGGGGTATGCAAACAAATGTTTCGGAACATTCTTGGCTGTCCGAAGCGCTGCTCCCCCTCCCTCGCGACAGGATGGGTGGCGAGGACCCTTCTACAATTCTGAATCCAGTTACACCTTATCGCGTTAGCATGTGCAGGCTGGGGGAGGGACAGGGGCAGGATTCCATATCGTCCCTCCATGGTTCATCGGTCTTGACATGTCTCGATTGCGACTCTGAAACCCAAAGACCAGAGACCGCGACCATCTGTACGCACCTTCCCCTCGCATGGGCCACATGCCGCATGGGGACGGGCTGACGGTGTCCCTGGAACGCAACGCCAGTCAGATCCCCACAAGCTCGCAACAGCCGAACTTAGCTCAGCTGGACAAAAACGAGCGTCTCCAAGTAGAGAGTCGATGTGGGAGGGCTCGGGCGAACCATGGGAAAAAATGGCCCGCAAGAACAGGAACTGGCGAAGGGAGAGGACGAGGTAGGAACGAAGCAAGAACATTTTGCTGTGCAGTAGCGTGCACTTTAAAAATACCTTTGCTGTACCAGGCAACTGCCAGTCTGAAACGAAGCGGCCTGATCACGCCTCGAGGAGGAAGATGCCACACGCAGAGACGGGAGGAAGGTGTGCTGTGAGGGGGGTCGGGGGGCAGAAACCGCGCAGGGCGAGCGACAGAGGAGGCGGCCCAGCGCGGACCTCGGAGGGCTACGAAGCCGCTCCGCTGCCGACCAGCTGCCGAGATCGAGAAGCAAGGCCGATGCCCTCACGCGCTCGCCGGGGCCTTGGTCGGCTTCGTGTTGGCCGCCTGCACCTCCTGCACGTAGTCCTGCATGTCCTCGAAGAACTTCTCACCCGCCTCCTTCCGCACCTCCGCGCCCGCATCCCGGCCGATCTCCGTGGCGTCTGACGGAGACCCTGCACGCTCGACCCGGAAGATCTTTTGGCCGTCTGGGGACGCGACGAGGCCCTTAAAGAGCAACTGGCCGTCCTCGACGCGGGCCTGCCCCGCGATCGGCGTCTTACAGTTGCCGTCCAGGGCGGCGAGGAAAGCCCGCTCGCAGGTGACGGACTGGAACGTCTGCTCGTGCGACAGGGGCCTGAGGTAGTCGAGCACCCGCTGGTCGTCGGAGCGGCACTGGAAGCTGATGGCGCCCTGGGCGATGGCGGGCAGCATCTCGTCCCACTCCAGCACGCTGGTCGCATGCTGCGTCATGTCCATGCGCTTCAAGCCCGCGTACGCCAGCAGCGTGGCGTCAACATCGCCGCCCTTCAGCTTGCGCAGCCGGGTCTGCACGTTGCCGCGGAAGTTCACGCATCGGAGCGTTGGGTTCACGCTGTAGATCTGGGACTGGCGCCTCAAAGACGCTGTGCCGATCACCGAACCGTCTGGAAGATCCGCAATCCTGGTGCAGTCGGGGTTGCCACTGATGAAGCAATCGCGCGTGTCCTCTCGTGGCAGCATCGTGCACAGCTCCGTGTCAGGGATCAGATCCGTCGGCACGTCCTTCGTGGAGTGGACGCAGAAGTCCACCTCCTTGGACGCCAGCGCCACGTCGAGTTCCCGGGTGAAGAGACCCTTGCCGCCGATCTCGGACAGAGAAATCTCCAACCGCTGATCGCCTTTGTGAAAGGGCCCAGGGACGCACACAAATCAATAGACACAACTGCTCATAGTCTCTGTGTTTACGCATATTTCCTGGAGTTTCGTCTTCCCCCCTCCCCCCCGCTTCCCATATTTCCCAAAATTTTCCCGAGAATCGACCATCAGCTGAGTCTGTGTGTATTTGTTTCCCCCTCCTGACTTCGGCGGAGCGCCGAGGAGAAGGCAGAGGGTTTTCTCGGAACGGATCTGAGGCTCCTGCAGAGGCTGTTCAACTAAAAAATAAAACTAGCCCTAACCCTTCGGGAGGGGATCTAAGTTAGGAAGGCCAGAACATCAGGGATAGCGGGTCCTTACTGAAGATGTATCAAACCAAACCGCCCAGATTCTTATCCCTACTGTGAAGATGGGGACCTCAGTGAGGCCACGTCGTCAGCGTGGTATGAGGGTTGAGTATTCTTTTGTTCGCGAAGGTTCAACAAGGCAGGACAACTGCCAAGGGCAGAAGACGCTGCCAAATTGGGAAGACCACGCCTCTCGCCCCACCCGTGAACAAACTCCGTTCGAAACGGATCCCCCGACCCCTCCTGGGATTCATCCCGGCCAGCTGCTCGGGCTGCGTCGAGCCGTTGCCACGGAGGCGCCCCATTGGACCCACAAGGTGCCCCGCTTGAGACGATGGTCGTCTGAGGGTGCAGCAGGAGACGTCAAACCGAGTTTCCCGCACGCCGCCAATGCCTGTCGTCGAGATAATCCTGATCTCCACCGCCTCGTCCGGCGCGAGCTCCGGGAACTTCTCCCCGAGCCGCCTCTTTGCCTCGTAGGCCTGCGCGAGGGCGAGCGGTGAGCCTTGGCATGAGGAAAGGGGTCCCTGAGGGAAACAGATCCTGGACCCACGGGCTGTCACTGTCTCTCCACCTTCCGCACCTTCCGACCAGTAGGTGGCTGATGTAGTGACGTTCTCAAGGACGAAGAATGGCATACACATAAATCTTTGGAAGTCCGCGCGGATTCCTTGGATCGGCGCTGGGCCTCCCTGGCAGCGCCTTGGGCGCCGCCCCTTGCGCTCTCCGCGCGCCAGGGAGGGGGTTCGCATCCGCTAGCACACATTATTAGCAGGCCGTGTTAGTTGCGGCCACCGAATGCGCAACCGATGGGGCATCCAAAAGCAAGCCATTTCTCTATTTGGCCACGAAGTGCGGAACCTATGGCGCAGCAGTGAGCGAGAAGTTTTATGCTTGGCGCATCCATTAGCAAGTTTGCTTTGTTCGACAGCAGACAGCGCAACCCATGGCGCAACCTACGACACAACACATTAATGGCACAACCTATGGCGCTACCCAGGAATGGCACCCCCTATAGCCCAGCCCATGGATCACGCATCCCATGGATGGTGCCGCCTATGGTGCAAGCCAATGGGTCGCGTACCCCATGGCAATCTCTGCAGGGCCACGCCCGACTCATACTCGCCGTTCAGACTGGTGGCAGGGCCCAACTGGCGAGCGGCCTTGCGATTGCTCACGACACCAGGGCCCTGGAAGGGCCCCCCGGGGGAAAGCCAAAGCGGCAACAACAGCTGGTGGACAATTCCCTGAGTGGAGGCCTCCGACATTGGGTCGGAGTAGACCGGGTCGGAGGATCGCGCCGCATAGCCGATCCATTGCCCGTGCATCGGCGATGCTTCGGCGACGTCGGCGATACAGCGGCGTCGTTCCGGCGTAAAGAAAATCGGGCTCCACATCGAGACGCCGCGCCAATGCATCGGCGACGCGGCGGGGACTCAGGTCTAGGGGAACAAAAAGTGACATAAACATAAAAACTCGGAGGTCCGCGCGGATTTCTCGGATCGGCGCAGGGGCCCCCCGGCGGCGCCTCCAGCGCCGCCCCTGGCGCGCTCCGCGCGCCAGGGAGGGAGGTCCAGCGCCGATCCGAGAAATCCGCGCGGACCTCCGAGTTTTTATGTTTATGTCACCTGTTGTTCCCCTAAGGTCTCCCTTTGGCTCATGGCGGGAGCCGCGCGTGCCAAGCGTCAAGGCCGGGCGGCCGCCACCCTCCGCGCTGCACACCACGCGCGCCGCACGCGCGCGGCCCGCGCGGTGCATACCGCGCCGGCGCGCCGCCACGCCGCAGGCCCCCAGGGCGAGGAGGCCGCTGGCCGCCGCCACGTTCGCGGGCTTCTGGCCCGGATCGGGGCCGACGGCGTTCGCGGTGGCATCGAGCCTGCGGCGTCGTCGTCGTCGCTGCATCGTGTTTGTCGGTTGGGGGGGGTGGCTCTCTGACGGTCTCCTGGAGAGGTGCGCCTCGGTACGCCCAGAAACTGGGAGGGTCCCAGAACCGTGCGGTGACGGACCGCGCAGGGGCCTCGAATTCCCGAAGGACCTCGCCGCACGGTCCGTCACCGCACTGCTGGGACCCTGGAGGCGCTAGTCGCCCGAGACGTCCCCGAGGAACGACCCGAGTCGCAGAACTGTGCGGAGACACCAAAGCCAACACTGACTCACCACGAGGTGAAGCCACCGCACCGCTTCGGGGCCTCCGACAGAGGAAGAACAGAACTGCAGAAGCACAATCTGGTGGAGGTCCGCGTGGAGTGCTTGCATCGGCGCTGGACCCCCCACCCTGGCGCGCGGAGCGCGCCAGGGGCGGCGCGCGAGGCGCCGCCAGGGGCTCGGCAAATTCTATTGCTTGCAATTGTTGTTCTTCGGTCCGAGGAACAGGCAACGGAAGCTGGCCAGGATGGGCCACGGGAGGCCCCGACGTCGTGATTTGTTCCTGTCGACGCCGGAGGTCTCGACCCATTCCCCGGGACAGGCGACGGAAACTGGCCAGGATGGGCCACGGGAGGGGGCCAGTCTGGGACACCGGTCTTGAGCGGATCCTGGCCAGGGTGAGGGCGACGGGGGCGGCCATCCCACGGGGGAGGGGGGCCTCGCCGATGGGCCCTGGGGGCCGCTGCAAGAAGGCCTCTCGGGAAAGCAGAAGGGATCTCACCCCTCCCTGACTCGACTCGACTCGGCTGAAGGCATGAGTGAGTCTCCTGCCTGTTCTGGAGAGGGGAGCGGGGGAGGAGAAAGACGGCAACAGCAACAGCACGAGAGAAAGAGCAAGGGAAGAGACATCAGCCACGATTGTGCAACATACAATCTGCAACATACAATCCTCCTCCCCCCCCTGCTCCCCCTACGCCTTCTCCTCCTCCTCCTCCTCCTCCTCCTCCTTCTCCTCCCTCCTGTCCTCATGGGGTGGATCCTTCTCTTCCTGCCTTCCTTCCTGTCACTGTCCCGCACCCGTGGCGTGCGTCGACCAGGCAGTATGGGTGAGACCGGACGAGCCGCAGGTAGGAGCCCCCTGTCTAGCCTCCCCCACTCTGCTGGGGTTCTCTGAGTTGCCTATCCTGCTTCGCTCTGGCCAGGGCTTGGGCGGAGGTTGATCGCTCGAGGTGGTGTCCCTGGGTGCCCGTTCGGACTTTTTAGGACAGCCCCGGACCAGCCTTGTAGAACCTCCGGCCCCGCTTCTGCTCGTGTTGCGCGCCTGGGAGGGTGGTCCAGAGTCGCCCCAAGAATTCGCACGGGCCCCCAGAAGAGCACTGCCTTCGCCTCCCTGCCCTCCTCTCCTCCTGCGCTGGCGGACAGTCATCCAGAGTCGTCGCAGCAAGATCACTTCTGAACCCTCTTGAGGTCATGGCTCCTTGCAGAAAGGAAGCTGCGTCCGACGCTTCCGCCAATCCAAGAGATTCCCTGCGTTGTTTCCAGACCCTCTCGAGCCTCGAACAAAAACACAAAGCACAGTTTTTCGCCAGGCCTCTGGACAGTCAAAAAACGGCACGGGATGAAGAACGGGTCCCAAAATCATGACGTCGGGGGTCTGGATTCGAAGGCCACCCTACATACTCAGCTAGATTCAGCCAGGGAACCAGGTGCGAGCCCTGGCCCTGCGAGTCCAGAGCTCGGGAGGGCAACTGCGAGCGGGCACAAGCAAAGTGGAACTCCACCACCCAGACCCCCGACGTCATGATTTTTCCTTGATGCGACCACAGAGGTCTGGACCCATTCCCTGGTCGTTTTTCGACGGAGCGAGTCCCTCCAAAGGCCGAGAATAGCGCAAAATCTCCCGTCGTGATTTTCATCTACGACGCGAGGCGGTCCGGGCAGTGAGCTCCTACCAGCCCGAATCAACTGGCGGCCAGGATAGCGTTTGGATAGTATGATGTTTCTTCTGCTTCTTCTTCTTCTTCTTATTATTATGTTTCTTCTTCTATTATCATTACTATTAACAACATTATTAGTATTAATAATATTAATATTATTATTATTATTATTATTATCACTATTATTATCCTTCGTCGCTGATGCCTGCCTCGCCCTGTCCCCGTTTGCACGCCGCTGATGCCTGGCGGCAGCGGCGGCGGCCGGCCTGACCGCCGGGCGCACGGCGCTTGCGGAGCCAGCCGGGGCCACGAACGCCATCATGTCCTGGCCACCCAGACCCCCTCGAGTCATGAAAACATCACGTCATAAATCGTTCCGCTATTTTCAACCTCTGGGGGGCCTTACTGGGCCTCGGGACCGTCATACGGTGACTCGGGATGAAAAACCGATCCCGGGGCTGGGTCGAGACCTCGGGGCCGACGTTATGATAAAATCATGACGTCGGGGGTCTGGGCATATGCTTCGGTGCAACCTACCGGGCGATCGGAGCTTCGAGCTTGCGCCTGATGCGTAAGCCCCACGTGGCCACGGGCGCGAGGAAGCGAGCAGGACAAGGGGAGGCACGGCGCGTCTGTGTCTCAAGGCAGGCCGCGCTCTCTGATGCTACGAGCCAGTGCGTCCCGACAGCGGCAGCACGTGGCTACGCTGATCGGCCGGACTCGCTGACCGCCTGGTCAGCTCGCGCAAGTGCGGGCGGGGGCTCAGAGCGCCGCACGTGGTGGCCCGACGCGCACTCGTGGCGACAGAGGCCTCCCAGATGGGGTCGGAGTAGATGGGGTCGGACAATCGCGTCACATCGCCGATCCATTGCCCGTGCATCGGCGATGCTTCGGCGATACATCGATTGTTGACGACACCAGGCCCATGGAAGGGCCCCCGGGGAAAAGCGACAGCGGCGAACAAAACCTGGTGAACGTTTCCCTCAGTGGAGGCCTCCCAATTGGGGCCCGAGTAGATCGGGTCGGAGGATCGCGCCGCATCGCTGATGCATCCCCGATGCGTTGGCGATGCGCTGGCGACGTCGGCGATGCATCGGCGATCGGCGCAGCTCCCATGGATAAATTGGGCTCCACATCAAGCCGCATCGCCGATGCATCGGCTATGCGGTGCATCGACCGACCCCCTGTACTCTGTCCCCATCTGGGAGGCCTAGAGACGATGAGGGTGGGAAGGAGGACCGAGAGCACAAGAAGGAAGATGAGACGGAAGAGGATCTTCGCTGTTTCTGCGCGCGCAGACGCTGCAAGTAACGTCGATGGCTCAAGGTGTCCGCCAGAGGCGCTATATACCGGATGCATGAAGCTCCACCGGGTCCTCATCCTCTCTCCGCCAGCTATTTCCCACCCTCTTCATTCAGGCCACCTGGCCGAATTCGGAAACTCTGAACCCAAAAAGATTGCCATCTCGTGGATGAGCATTGTTTATCCGCCGACCTTGCGCCGCCTTCCGCCGAGTGAAGGATGCCAACTCCATCGATCCTTGAATGCAAGGTCCTTTCTAGAACGCCTCACCTGTCATCCCAATTAAGTGCCATCTCCTTCTCCTCCTCCTCCTCCTCGTCCTCCTCCTCCTCCTCCTCCTCCTCCTCCTCCCCCTCCCTCGGTCTCCTCGTTCTGGCATGCTCGTTAAGCCTGGCCGCACTGCCTCCGAGACGTCCAGCTAGCCCGCTGTCGTGTTAGGCACTCTTGTTATCGACCCTTCTGCTACCCCCATCCTGACCAGCCTCGATCTTCAGATTGACACACCCACAGAACATTACAATCTTGGGGATGCGCCCTCATTGACCTGAGCCCCTACATATCGGCATCGAGATCGGGTGACACCAATCATAGCATAGGGATATGTTCGGGGCTGGTAACGTCCACTTCCTCGCTCACCGCGGTCTGGACCTCGAAAAACAGGCGTTCTCAGTCTTCCGTGTTGGCCTCCCCCCTCCTCCACCTCCTCCTTGTCCCCATCGCCTCGCGCGCTACGAAGACGCGGCCGACGCTAGCAGCGGAAATAAAAGCCGCCAGCCACGGAATCAACCGAGCGCCAGACTGCAACCTGGCATGCGCCAGAAATCAAACATCAGAATGAGGGGTCCGAACGGTCTTGAACCATCCCTGGGTGCGTGCCTGAAATGGGCTTCCGCGGTGAGGATACTTATTGCTGTTGTTGTGTGCATTTTTGTTCGTTGTCGTCATCGCCCTGGACCCGCCTACAACATCGGCTCCGTCGGCGATCTTCTTCAAAGTCTTGCAGACTGTCGACGACCCCGCCGCCCCCTCACTCTTATCCGCACCTTCGGGGGGAACTCAGACCCCCATCGGACTCCAACGTTCATGTACATATCATGGGTGATCCGCTTAGCGTAGGTCCCGAAGGCGGAGCTTGCGCGAGGCTCATCTGATACTTAAAGCCTGGTAGCGGCAGTGCAAGCAGGAAGCACACGAGCGCGCTCGAGGCTTGGAATATTACCAGACATTCGACCAGGCGCAAACGCACACACGCACCCAAGCACACACACACACACACACACACACACACACACACACACACACGCACGGGCACAACCACACGCGCACAAAACGCACATGTGCGCACACTGTTTGCCGGCACGGGACTGGCACAATGTTCACACTCTAGGAGTATACGGTCGGACCTAAAACAGAATAACATCCTTCAAGAACATGAGACCTCAGCTTGCCAAAACACACAGAACAGCGAAGGGTACCCTCCCAAGGATGTATAATCACATCCAACAAACACGATGAACAGTAGGGTACCCTCCCCGAACCAACCTCGATCTGATACTTCGGTCCGACCGTATTCTGACCGAGCCGTGGGATCGATTGTGTTCCACGGTGAGACGCAGACAACATGCTGTGATATTGCGCACCACACGGCCGCGGCGCGCCAAGGTGGGAGCAAGGGAGGGCGCTGAGACGTCTGGCAACGGGGGCAGCTTCGGCATAAGATGCTACGACGGAGGAGGGTATGAGAGGAATCGGGGGCCGAGAACGTAAAGGGCCTCCTGTTTCTGCTTCCATCCCTCCTCCTTCCTCCATTCCAGCATTCCCCTCCTACCACCTGCCCCTTCCTCCACCGCCACCCCTCCCGCGGTGTCCTCCCTCATGTTGTCAATGCTGTCTTTATTATCCCTCCTCGCCCCCTCCTCCCTTCTCGTTTCTTCTTCCAGCCGTCTCACTTTTCTCCCCCCCTCCTTCCTCCGCCCCCCGCCCTCTTCCTCGTCCTCCCTCGTATTGTTTTCCTTCTCGCTCCTCGCCCCCTCCTCCTTTCCTTCTTCTCCTTCTGGCCGTCTTCTCTCCACCCCTCCCTCCATCCGCCCTCCTCCGTTCTCCACCTTCCCCTCCCGTCCTACCACCTCCCTCCTACTATACCGTAACCATCACTCCGCAAGCGCCCCTCCTCAATTATCAAGTCTCCACCCACACTTACTCATTACGCGTACTACTCTCCAAACGCTCCTGGCAATTTCCAGCCGTCATGCCGCCTCGCCCACGGATTGTTCGCCACACGCAGGGCTTCATCATTTTATTTGTCATGTGGTGGATTTCAGTGTTACCCGCACAGGATCGGCACGTCTTCGATCCTTCACAGCGGTGCTCTTGCTGCATCGTTGGCCTCATTTCTGGATCGCTGCCTTGCTTCCATCGATCGGACTGACTCTCTCGCCGCAGCGCGTGTCTAAATGCTATTCTTCCTCGTCGTTGACAATCCCTTCTCATGTCCCCTCATTTGTCCTCCCTGCTGTTACTCCTCTTCCTGCTCCATCTCTAAACGCTGGTTGCAAAAACCGTCTATGGCTGAAGGTCTTCTGGGGCACCCCACACAGCGGACAGATGATGAATCACAGGCATGATGAAAAATGGGTGGTAGAGCAGGATGTAAGGTGTCAGATGTGGCGCGGCCGCGCCTAGCTTGCCCCCCATTTCTTGGGGAGACAAAAAGGCATCGATACCGCCACTCTCAAGACCTCTCCAGAGGGGCGTCCTGATCGGCACTTCGGGGCGAATCCTGTGAGGGTTGGGTAGCTGTATCGGTGCACTTCGCTGGCGAACCACATGTATGTCTCCGCGGCCCCGCGGGCCGGGCCGCTGGGCTGCGACCCCGCGGATACGGGGCGACGGCACCATAATCCAGACGCGAGGGCGTGGATACGAATATGGCGAATTCAGAAAAGCCCGCACCAAAAGAACATTGCCATCTCTTTTGGGTAGCCGATCTTTCTTCCCGCCGGCTTCCGTGGACTTCTGCCGGCGGCGGCGGCTTTGTTCTACTTGCGCGCGCATGCCGCCTGCCATTCACCGAGGAGGACATCTTCGACCCTCGATGGCGCTGCCCTCCCTCGAACGCCTCATCGGATGTCCGCCGCTCGTAAGCACTCTCCTCCTCGGATGCCCCTCCCCCCGTCCCGGAGACAGCCAGAGACGCCCGAGGAACCATCGGGAGCACCGAGAGCCACCGAGCGCGCCCGAGGGCCACCGAGGGCCCGCGGCGGCGGCGTGTCCTCGCAGGGGAGGGGGGCCGGGGCGGGTCGGTGGGGCGGCCTCAGCGCCGCGACTTGATCCACACCGAGTTGTACTTGTCGCGGGACTTGGAGCGCGAGCGGGAGCGGGAGGGCTCCTTGAGCGCGCGACCTCCGCCAAGAGGCGCTGGGGGGGGGAGGCGGCCGGCCGCGAACAGAGGCGCGTGCCCTGCGGCAGGAGCTTGGCAGCGACAGCGCGGGTCGAGGGCCCGAGCCCCCCCGCCACGCAGAGCAGCGCGCACTCCAGGGGGGATAGCGCTCGGGAAGGGGCTGGCATCGGGGTGCCCCTCCAGATAGGAACCAGGACAAGCGGCACGGCAACCACCAGCGCAAGGCGCCAGCGGGGGTCCTCCTGGTGGTGTGCCCCCCCCCTCCCCTACCGGAGAAATCTCCTGCAGGAGAGCCCGGAATCGAATCGATAAGTCGGATCGTCGATCGAGATGAATCCGATCGGCGGAAATCGGCAGCCAAATCGGGAGCCAAATCGGCAGAACTCGATCCGGCGGAACTCGGTAGGGCAAGAACACCTGCATAGAGAAACCGAAACCCAGATCGGCATCCGAAGTCGCATCGAACCGGAATCTGGACCGATCGAACTCGTCGGAGAAGTCGAAGCGAGCCCTGCCTCGCGCACCCGGAAAGCCAAGCCGCGCACCAAAGGACACTCCGGCGAAGGGCCACCCGTACGTGCAGCCGAGGTGATCGAGAGATGGTGTGGCGCGGGGTGTCCAGCATCATCTGCGGCACCCTCTGCGGAATGGCCGCAGTGAACACCTTCCTGTGCCTGTCTGGCCCCCCTGGCTGCCGGCGGCACCCCCTGGTGGTGGCTGTGCCGCCGCCCCCTGGTGGTGGCTGTGGCTTGGGGGGGGCAGGCCGCAGGGGGCTGTCTAGAAAGAGGCGGCGTCTGGAGGCTCGGCCTTTTCCCAGGCTAGCCGTGGAGCGAAAGATCGTAGCGTCAGGGAGGCTCGGTCTGTCTGCCTCTCTCTCTCTCTCTCTCTCTCTCCCTCTCTCTCCTCTCTGCCCCGCCCTCCTACCTTCTCCTCCCTTCTCTCCCTCCTCCCCCCTCCTCCCTAACTCCCTCCTCCTCTCCTCCTCCCTCCACCCTCCTCCTTTCTCCTCCTAAGAATCCCCCTCCTCCTCCTCCTCCTCCCTCCTCCTCTCCTCCTCCTCCTCCTCCTCCTGCCCTCCTCCTCTCCTCCTCCCTCCCCTCCCTCCCCTCCTCCCTCCCTCCCTCCCCTCCTCCCCCCCTCCCTCCCTCCCTCCCTCCCTCCTCCTCTCTCTCGTCGG